AGCCGTTTAGGAGATACCGAAGGTTACATATTTTAATTTTAAGTTAATTTTAATTGAAATTTGAATTTAAATGTTCATATCTCCGCTTCCACTGGGAATTGAGTGTCGAAGTTTATGGTGAGAATAGGGTTGATACAAGACTATATTGAGGCAAAAGCGCGTTCCTGTATCTTGAGCCGTTTAGGAGATACCGAAGGTTACATTTTTTAATTTTAAGTTAATTTTAATTGAAATTTGAATTTAAGTGTTCATATCTCCGCTTCCACTGGGAGTAGAGAGTCGTCCATGTAGTCCAAAATGTAGGGTTTTGAAAGGGCTTTAATTTGGTACCAGTCCGAAGCCTGTATCTCTAACCGTTTAGGAGATATCGAAGGTTAAAGTTTTCCAGCCTTTCTTTAGCGATATCCAGCCTTCATCCGTCGATATCTCCGCATCTACTGGGAGTAGAGAGTCGTCCATGTAGTCCAAAATGTAGGGTTTTGAAAGGGCTTTAATTTGGTACCAGTCCGAAGCCTGTATCTCTAACCGTTTAGGAGATATCGAAGGTTAAAGTTTTCCAACATTTCTCCGTCGATATCTCCGCTTCCACTAGAGAGTCGTCCATGTAGTCCAAAATGTAGGGTTTTGAAAGGGCTTTAATTTGGTACAAGTCCGAAGCCTGTATCTCTAACCGTTTAGGAGATATCGAAGGTTAAAGTTATCCAGCCTTTCTCTATCGATACCCAACCTTTCTCCGTCGATATCTCCGCTTCCACTGGGAGTAGAGAGTCGTCCATGTAGTCCAAAATGTAGGGTTTTGAAAGGACTTTAATTTGGTACCAGTCCGAAGCCTGTATCTCTAAATGTTTAGGAGATATCGAAGGTTAAAGTTTTCCAGCCTTTCTCTATCGATATCCAGCCTTCATCCGTCGATATCTCCGCTTCTACTGGGAGTAGAGAGTCGTCCATGTAGTCCAAATGTAGGGTTTTGAATGGGCTTTAATTTGGTACCAGTCCGAAGCCTGTATCTCTAACCGTTTAGGAGATATCGAAGGTTAAAGTTTTCCTGCCTTTCTCTATCGATATCCAGCATTCATCCGTCGATATCTCCGCTTCTACTGGGAGTAGAGAGTCGTCCATGTAGTTCAAAATGTAGGGTTTTCAAAGGGCTTTAATTTGGTACCAGTCCGAAGCCTGTATCTCTAACCGTTTAGGAGATATCGAAGGTTAAAGTTTTCCAACCTTTCTTCGTCGATATCTCCGCTTCCACTGGGAGTAGAGAGTCGTCTATGTAGTCCAAAATGTAGGGTTTTGAAAGGGCTTTAATTTGGTACCAGTCCGAAGCCTGTATCTCTAACCGTTTAGGAGATATCGAAGGTTAAAGTTTTCCAGCCATTCTCTAGCGATATCCAGCCTTCATCCGTCGATATCTCCGCTTCCACTGGGAGTAGAGAGTCGTCCATGTAGTCCAAAATGTAGGGTTTTGAAAGGGCTTTAATTTGGTACCAGTCCGAAGCCTGTATCTCTAACCGTTTAGGAGATATCGAAGGATAAATTTTTACAGCCGTTCTCCATCGATATCCAGCTATCATTCGTCGATATCTCCGCTTCTACTGGGAGTAGAGAGTCATCCATGTAGTCCAAAATGTAGGGTTTTGAAAGGGCTTTAATTTGGTACCAGTCCGAAGCCTGTATCTCTAACCGTTTAGGAGATATCGAAGGTTAAAGTTTTCCAACCTTTCTCCGTCGATATCTCCGCTTCCACTGGGAGTAGAGAGTCGTCCATGTAGTCCAAAATGTAGGGTTTTGAAAGGGCTTTAATTTGGTACCAGTCCGAAGCCTGTATCTCTAACCGTTTAGGAGATATCGAAGGTTAAAGTTTTCCAGCCTTTCTTTATCGATATCCAGCCTTCATCCGTCGATATCTCCGCTTCTACTGGGAGTAGAGAGTCGTCCATGTAGTCCAAAATGAAGGGTTTGAAAGGGCTTTAATTTGGTACCAGTCCGAAGCCTGTATCTCTAACTGTTTAGTAGATATCGAAGGTTAAAGTTTTCCAACATTTCTACGTCGATATCTCCGCTTCCACTGGGAGTAGAGAGTCGTCCATGTAGTCCAAAATGTAGGGTTTTGAAAGGGCTTTAAATTGGTACCAGTCCGAAGCCTGTATCTCTAACCGTTTAGGAGATATCGAAGGATAAAGTTTTACAGCCGTTCTCCATCGATATCCAGCTATCATTCGTCGATATCTCCGCTTCTACTGGGAGTAGAGAGTCATCCATGTAGTCCAAAATGTAGGGTTTTGAAAGGGCTTTAATTTGGTACCAGTCCGAAGCCTGTATCTCTAACCGTTTAGGAGATATCGAAGGTTAAAGTTTTCCAACCTTTCTCCGTCGATATTTCCGTTTCCATTGGGAGTAGAGAGTCGTCCATGTAGTCCAAAATGTAGGGTTTTGAAAGGGCTTTAATTTGGTACCAGTCCGAAGCCTGTATCTCTAACCGTTTAGGAGATATCGAAGGTTAAATTTTTCCAGCCTTTCTCCGTCGATATCCAGCCTTCCTCCGTCGATATCTCCGCATCCACTGGGAGTAGAGAGTCGTCCATGTAGTTCAAAATGTAGGGTTTTGAAAGGGCTTTAATTTGGTATCAGTCCGAAGCCTGAATCTCTAACCGTTTAGGAGATATCGAAGGTTAAAGTTTTCCAGCCTTTCTCCGTCGATATCCAGCCTTCCTCCGTCGATATCTCCGCATCCACTGGGAGTAGAGAGTCGTCCATGTAGTCGAAAATGTAGGGTTTTGAGAGGACTTTAATTTGGTACCAGAGCCAGGTCTATATCTCTAACCGTTTAGGAGATACCGAAGGTTAAATTTTTCCAGCCATTCTCCGTCGATATCCAGCCTTCCTCCGTCGATATCTCCGCATCCACTGGGAGTAGAGAGTCGTCCATGTAGTTCAAAATGTAGGGTTTTGAAAGGGCTTTAATTTGGTATCAGTCCGAAGCCTGAATCTCTAACCGTTTAGGAGATATCGAAGGTTAAAGTTTTCCAGCCTTTCTCCGTCGATATCCAGCCTTCCTCCGTCGATATCTCTGCTTCTACTGGGAGTAGAGAGTCGTCCATGTAGTCGAAAATGTAGGGTTTTGAGAGGACTTTAATTTGGTACCAGAGCCATGCCTGTATCTCTAACCGTTTAGGAGATATCGAAGATTAAAGTTTTCCAACCTTTCTCCGTTGATATCTCCGCTTCTACTGGGAGTAGAGAGTCGTCAATATAGTCGGAAATGTAGAGTTTTGAAAGGACTTTATTTTGGTGCCAGATCCAGGCCTGTATCTCTAACCGTTTAGGAGATATCGAAGATTATAGTTTTCCAACCTTTCTCCTTTGATATCTCCGCTTCTACTGGGAGTACAGTGCGACATGTTGAGTGCAAAATTCTGATAATGCTCTGTGTCGACTAGGAATTACCGCCTGCTCTTGTTACGAATTACGAATGTAATAAGAGATAATAATTCGAATAATAATTAGAAGATGCAAATTTTTACATAAATATATGTATAGAAATGCATATATACAGAAAAAGAATCATGTGCTGTTGAACGAGGTGTAAGTTTGTGCGCGATGCCATGTTTCTCAAACCCGTAATTATAAGCGTACCACAGACACGAACTACCAGTAAGACCCAGTTCCACAAAATCAAGTTTAAACCGTGATTATCTGAACTGACGTTACATTTAACGGCATGGTAAAACTTATATCGCGTTCCACATCATGTTTTTAACTGTAGTTTACTTAAACCTATAGTCTGTATGAAGAAACTGTCAAAGACTTCTCTTTCTTTTCAAACGTAGAGTATGATTGGTTGTTGCTAATAGTGAAAAGAGGGAAAATTGAAATAAGTTGGATGCTATGACATCTAATAGAGAACAATATATCTGTTTTGTATGAAGTAAACACTAACCAATATTAACATTTGCTGTATTTGTATATAAGTATTAATTTATTAAAAGGTGGAAGTCTGGTGTTAATAATAATCAATTAGTTTATATTATTGATTTGATTGCATTTATCATATAGTAATTGACTTTTATATATAATTTTATATTCTGTTTTAGAATTTAATCTATCGAAGCAAAAAACCCAATGTTTTAAATTAAATTTATATATTTATATATTTATATATTAAATTTATATACTTACTGTTCTGTTTTATGAGAAATTTCCTGCTCGATTTCTGCTAGAACTGCAATAACAGATTCTTTTGATAATCTAAATCGTACATGAAAATCGACATTATCAAATTCTTCCAAATATGATGGTCGTCTTATTCTTATATTTCTTGTCTGTCGACAAAATTAAGTTTTCAAAATCTTCATCTTTAGATGAAGATAATATGTATTCTAAAGCCAAATCTCTTTGGTATTCAAACGTTCAAAATATTTGTCAACTGAACTCCAAAACCGGGATAGTCATAAATTTTTTTCTCAAATTGATGGTACTACAGTGTTAAACTTTGTTTAAATTCATTAAACGCCCAAAGTTTAGGGTTTAACTTTAACTGTGAGAAATCAACGTTAACCATGGTTTAAGGCAGTTGTGGAACGCAATTTTTCGTCTAAACTAGGATTAACGAGTTAAACTTCGTTTACAGTAAGTTATGGAACCGGGCTTAAATGGGCGTAGAACGGACACGCACCAAATAGAGACTTTACCGGCAGCGTCTGCAAATGGGCGTAGTCAACGTAGTTCCCAGTTATAAATGGGCGCAGATGGCGTTAAAATCAGTCATCAAAATGCATGTCGCCAAAAATGCCAGCGTGGCCGCTTTTAAAGCCAACGGCACACGGTGTTTGTTTCGTGCTGGATTGCTTGCTGGATGAAAATACTGCGTTCTGATTGGTGCATTTCCATCCATCTTCGGAAATGTACCAATCACAACGCAATATTTTCATCCAGCAAGCAATCCAGCACGAAAACAAGCACCGTGTGCCGCTAACTTTAGGCTTCTCTCTGGTATAAGAGGAACCGCGAGACAAAACTCGAGGAGAGTTGGACAGCGGCAATCGCCGCGTATAGATCGAATTCGTACCACTTAAAACCGCGCGATCGAACAAAGAATATTGCGTAACGCGAGCGTAATTACGCTTGATGATTAAATGCTAGTGCTAGTGTGCCATATTTGGATTAGCTGCCAATCGAGGCTGTACGAGCTGCCGTAGATGCTGGTGTAAGACCTGCCAGGCCCGCTCAAGGAATGCTACCTCCTCCTTAAGATAGCGGTAAGTGCGGCGTAGCCGTACTAATTATCCCGGCCGTTAATTCGTTAGCATCGCGATATCACGAGACAGCGTAACGTCATCGCATCGTCCTCCTCCCGTCGCGTAATTCGCGTTAATTACCGCGTAGCGTTGTTAATATTAACGAACTTGTTACCGGACCTGCCATTGCGGATATCCGGTAACGAAAGCGCCGCCACCATCTTGGCCACGTCGAAAAGAAGCCGCCGCCATCTTGACACGTCGAAAAGAAGCCGCCGCCATTTTGGGTCCGCGCACGGAAATTTCCTTTGTCCGTTACGAGAATATAGATCGCGCAGACTGTAGCATATACCGTAGTGTAGAGACACACATACTATAGCGGATAGACTCTTGTGCATGTACCGGGTAAACAATTATTTTCAATAATAAATTTTCACTTTTTAACTGTCCAGTCTATATGATTCTACAGTTCACTGTATGGTAATTATTTAGAAGACGGGCCTCGCATTGAATTTCGCTCTCGCATTGAATTCGCAAACTCACCTATCTTGTGTATTTTGACGTATAGAAGGTAAATCTGCAAGTAAAAATGGTCGCTCGGCTCTAGTTTGCGAGAAATAAATAGTTAAAAAGTGACACATGCGAGGTTAGGAAATCTGTCATGTCGGTAATACAGAGACTGATGGTCTGTTCTTTTTACTCGAAAAGTGTAAAATAGTACATGTTGGGGAGAGGCGAAGCCCTCTCCCCAAAGCCATTTTCAAATATTAAACATATGAAAGTGTCTCAAACATATGTATACATACAGTACCAAACATATGTACACACACACACACACACACACGGGGGTGCAAGGGGGGCCTTTGGCGGTGTGTGTGTGTGTACATATGTTGGTACTGTATATATATACATGTTTGAGACTTTTTCATTTGTTACATATCCCCCTCCCGCACCCTCCCCGTTCTCGTTGTGCATTGAAGTTATATCCATAAGTCTCTGTATTACCGACATGACAGATTTCCTAATCTCGCATGTGTCACTTTTTAACTATTTATTTATCGCAAACTAGAACCGAGCGATCATTTTTACTTGCATATTCGGCTTCTACACGTCAAAATATACAAGATAGGTGAGTTTGAGCAAAATCTAAGGTGAAGCCCGTCTTCTAAATAATTACCCACTGTATCCCTGTAGTTCGAACAAACCTGTAAATTCCAGTCGGTTTTGCATTTTTACAGTTAAATAAACAAATTTCCATTGTCTGCCACCGACTGGTAGTTCGTTCTTTGTCTGTCATTCGAGCCTACATATATTTCTATTCCTATAAGTCTTGCTCGCGCCAAAAAACCCAGTCGGTTTCTTTATTATACCGTAACTGTAACTTAAGCTACCAATCCGATACTATTCACTGGTACTTTGCGCCATCTGACCACAAGTCACTGGCATCTCTTAACTAGATAAGACCAGTTCAACACCACTGACTGGTACCATAATCGATGTGACTACGGTCACTGGTAAATCTTCTACAACCGCATTTGACAACGGACACACGTTCTTTAACAACCGTACGGTTCAGTGGCCGTATCTGCAGCTTCGGAAGTAGAACAGTGGACTTCACCTCTTCAAGGAATACCACTGGGGTGTCGTTGCCCATATAATTCCAGCGACTGGCGACCGTGAAGAGTAGACATGGGTGAGGGCTAGTTCCGAACCTCCGACAGGAGTCAAAAGAATATTTAAAGGAAGTCACTGGTCAGGGCCACCGAGTGAGCTCTTTATTTTAATCTCATCGAAACCCGGTCACACGTATAAGCCAGCACCTCACTCACCTCTCTTATTCGAGATCTCACATCTTCCAAATCGTCGAAGGAACCTCCTCTCGTATTCTTTCCTCAACAGCGGTGAGTCGAAAACTCGAAAAGTGGCGACCGTGACAGGACTTTGTGCCACTAAACGTGTCGTCCACTCGAGATTATTTCACTCACTCACTCGCACACACGTGAGCTAAAACTCGAACGTGGCGACTGTAACAAGACTCTTGTTGTGGATGTCCTTCTCATCTTATCGCTAACACCGACACAAGAATCCAGTCGTGCGTGACTTCGCGAAAGTGACATCTCCGCTGAGGCTGTTCACGATTCTCGCATATCCGCTTAGGGAGGAGAGACAAGCGATCGCGTACAGGATATAAGCGTGCATGCATTAGATGTAAGACTCGTCAATAGCGTAATTAACAGTCGTGGGGGTAAATAAGAAAAGACCATATAGTTGTACTCACTGGCAATTACTGGTGTAATAGGATTCATGGTGAGAAACATCAGCGCGACAATTAGAAATCTTTGTTACATCCGGGAGAAGACATTAGCTAGGATTTAGTTTTTGACAACGTCAGGTCCAGTCGTGTCTATAGGCCAAAATATCGGCATTTGATACTAAAAACCTCCGAGGACTTGCAAACCTTGGGGAGGGTGAGAATTAACTGCATCGTTCGTTCTTACCAGTTAAAAGGACACTGGTTCGCTTAACCGCGCGTCGGTTGTTCTTAGACCGCGTCGACAAATGTTGCTAGGGACGAGATTCCAACGCATTAACATAAGATAGGTAGAAACCCGTGCGCGCCACCAGTCTAGATAATAGGCATAGGGAAACCTTGTCAAAAACACCAGTTATAAGGTGAAACTCTCGTCAAATTTTACCCAGTTTATACCAGTAACTGGTAAAAAGACTAAAAACGAGGCCCAAGACGCGTAAACGTGCATGCTTCAACTTATCAAGGTCCTAAATAGGAACCACTAAGATACAAGTCCGCGGTAACATAGACACAGACGGACAAATTCAACAGTCCACTCTAGAGAAGTTTGGTCTCTCTGAAAACTGACTATTCTCTACAAAACAATCGGATCCAACACCTACCCTTAACTGGACAACAAAATCCTTGACGCTAAACTCAGAAATGAGTAAAGACGACACAAAGATACCACGATTCCCTCAGACGTCGGAAGACACATTCGCGAACTAGTTAGGACCACGAATAGAGAGGTTGTATCGAACTCCTCCGGGAGCAGGTGCGTCGATCACACGGTTAGGAACCAGGTATAATTTAAGGGGTAACCCGTCACCTCCAGAAGGTGATGAAGATTCCAGGCCCCCGTAGTAGAGATAAAACATACGGAAAATCCGTATATTGACAACCTAGAACAAACAGCCATCACCACAGATCGGTACCCAAAGGACAACATGGCACAATCAAGGGGAGAATCACCCATGAGGTTTGATGAAGCCGAGCTAGCCAGGGCGTGGGAACATCCAAAGGGAATACCTCGCAGGCCATGAGAGGCGAGGAAGAGCCGTTAAGCGAGTTAACCCGAAGGGCGTTTAGAAACGCCGTGTACACTGCAAACCCTGACGTTCTCAGGACACTCGGATAGAACACATCCGATGGTGTTCCTCAAAAGGTTCGCCAACATAGGTCAGTTCGAAGGATTTTCGAGCGAAGAACACCTTTACCATTTTGGTCAAGCATTGAGAGGACAAGCCGCGATATGGTGGTCTGTACAAAAACGTTCACAAACTGGAAAACGGCCAGAGAAGCATTCAAGGAAAAATACTGGTCGAGAAGGCTACAAACGCATGCCCATCAGCGGTTAATGCTAGGCAAATACTCAGGTAAATATAATGAGGCTAAGTCCGACTATATACAACTCTTCTTCCAGGAGTCTCAAATGTTGAACCACCCGATGTCTGAAATAGATTTTGTAAACGTCATGTCGTCACACTTCGACGTACCAATCCAACAAAGAATAATGGATAGAGATTTAACAGACGTCAACGCATTAACAAAAATATTAGACGACATGGACCTCTTTAAAACAATGAACGCAGAAAGGTCTGAGCGACAATCCCTTCGTGATAGATATGAAGGCCCACGCGAATAAAAACCATGGACCGAAAAACGGACTTATCAGTCTAAGGAAGAGAATGGAGCTTTCTGAACACAAGAGACAACACTCGAGACAAAACGATAGCGGAAAGAACTCGAAGGGCAAAACTCCTGAACGAGGACAAGCAGAAGAGGATAACAAGAAAAGTCAATCCCGTTCGCTGTCTCGACGATACGACAGACTCGAAGAGAGAGAGGTGGGTGAATACCAATTCGAACAGTTTCAAGATCGCGATCTTAGTCACAAACACCATAATAGTGAGCAAATATCGCTTATTGACCACCAATATCGCTTATTGTCATCCAAACAGTGGAGGCAAGCGACGAGGAAAAACAAGCATACGCATTCGAACTGGGCAGAAACGACAAAAGCCAACCGATTCTACCATTAAAACTGGTAAATAGAGACACGACCTGTCCAGCCAACGCAGTGATAGACACTGGAGCCACAGTATCGATAATCTCCTTGAAGTCGCTGCAAAAATATAAAGAGATAATGGAACGAGAGTGTGAAACACCACCCGAAGGATTTTATCCTATCACTCGCATTAAAGCAAAAAATTGAGAGAAGCCTTCGGGGAACAAATGGTGGTAGCAAAAAGCAAAACCCAACTTACAGCGGAGTTAGCTACCGTAAATAAATACAAAACTCGAGTTACCACTCTTTGTAGTAAATATTCAGCAACCCTTGCTGATATTAGGATATAACTTCATAAGGAAATATATGGTAGAAATGGATCTATCGGGGAACAAAATAGTCCTCGACATTGAAGGAAGTGCAAACACGGAGGACGCTTCTGATCATTTTCCAGAAGTTTACGAGTTACTTTTGAATAGATACGAGATATTTCAAATAACACGAAATCGACCCGCGATCCCTTCCTAGATTGGTACGATGCTCGTCATCCCCCTAAACAACCATCTGTAGCATACACAGGCACTCGGGCCGAACAAAAGTTACCTGATAAGAAAGACGAGTTTGCGCCGTCCAATAAATCAAACAATCATGGTCCACCACGCGAAATAGTCAAAGACAATCAAACTCGCGAAATTTGCCAGATTCTATGCTACAATTTCAACGACGCTTGGTTCGAAGATACCAGCAAAGACGTCATAAAAAATAATTTACGTGATACCATACGCGATATAAATCGCCATTTACAAAAAGGAGGGATACGATCGTATCTTTCAATTTTCACTAGACACGTTAACGGTAAAAGAACAGCCCGTAGTGTTCGACGGTAGACAAAATTATGTCTTAATGTTTCAATTCTTGCGCCAAATGATTCAATACGGTAACCGCCCTATCATGAAATATTATTTCCCGCGAACGTGACGCTTCATAACGAAACCGCTGGGCGAGTTTCAAAGAGAATTTCGTGAAAACAAAAGCGAACTATACTGGGTGATCCGAAATTTCCGCATTCGGAGTACAGGACATGATACTTTATGCTAAAACAAACAACTTCTTCCTTTAGCAAAATTGCGTCCGACAAGTAGTTTTTGCAGGAGAGCGTGTTAAATTTAACGAATAAGTGCTCTTGTCTATGTAGCGCTCAGGGGCGGCGCGCGCGCCTCACTCGCGTGTACCTAGTCCGTGATTAGTAATCATAAGTAGTGTCTTTTAAGACGCTCATACGGTTCTGTTGTGATTAGTATACGACATTTTAAGACTGTGCTTGAGACAATTTTAAATAATAAGAATCAATTATGAACAATACCGGGATTTGATCTGCTTTCGTATTTGCTTAAATTTTCGTATTGCTTTCGTATTGCTTTCGTATTGCTTAAATAATGAAAAGTTAATAAAATAAGTACTGCCTTTATTTCTTACGTAATAAATGAATAAAATATTGTCTGATTGCACAATATTATCTGAAAATAAAGACAAATGTAAATAGTAATATGTTTTGCGAGCTGTGAGCGTTCTATTATTTCAAATATTGCATAATTACCTGATAATTAAATAGTATCATTAAACTCAAAGAATATGTAATTTACTGATCAAGCGTATACATGCGGGAGCAGGTACGAAAATCTCAAGTACGCCCCTGAGGACGAAACGTGGAAGAGGGAGAACAACATGGAGGAGTAGGCGTACTTGAGATTTTAATACCTGCTCCCGCATGTATACGCTTGATCAGTAAATTACGTATTCTTTGAGTTTAATGATACTATTTAATTATCAGGTAATTATGCAATATTTGAAATAATAGAACGCTCACAGCTCGCAAAACATATTACTATTTATATTTGTCTTTATTTTCAGATAATATTGTGCAATCAGACAATATTTTATTTATTTATTACGTAAGAAATAAAGGCAGTACTTATTTTATTAACTTTTCATTATTTGAACAATACAAATACGAAAGCAGGTCAAATCTCGGTATTGTTCATAATTGATTCTTATTATTTAAAATTGTCTTAAGCACAGTCTTAAAATGTCGTAAACTAATCACAACAGAATCGTATGAGCGTCTTAAAAGACACTACTTATGATTACTAATCACGGACTAGGTACACGCGAGTAAGGCGCACGCGCCGGCCTGAGCGCTACATAGACAAGAGCACTTATTCGTTAAATTTAACACGCTCTCCTGCAAAAACTACTTGTCGGACGCAATTTTGCTAAAGGAAAAAGTTGTTTGTTTTAGCATAAAGTATCATGTCCTATACTCAGAATGCGGGAATTTCGGATCACCCTGTATAAATAAATACATCCGTCACTTATGGGAGGAACATCGTAGTCTCTCAGATAGCAAAAAACAGGTAAAACTGGAAAAAGAACCTCCAGACTCACGAACCTCGGTAAGTCCAAGAGTACCGGATGAAAATCCACAGGCCCACTTTTGGTCAGTAACAGGTGAGTTCGCACCACCACAGGACTCTCTGGCCTCAGCCGAAATATCAATGATATGGGAACAAATAAATCAATCCCCTACAATAAAACTTATAATGACAAAAATCCGGGGCTTACAGCTCCAGGTGTCAGAGTTAATAAATATAATTCTTGAAAAGGAAATAAATGATGAACACTCAGAACCTCCAAACTCCGAGTCCAAATCCTGGATACCCACATCCTCAGTGAACGAAAAAGAGAAATCTGTTTCTCATTCGCAGGTAAACTAACTGACAGAGGACCGGGACACCAAAGACGAGTCCAGCCAAGGCAAAAACCCTGAGGACCATAGAGATCCATCAACAGGTAGCTGCAGCATCGCCATGAACAAAATTGAAAAGCTCATAGAGCAGTTAGAGGAGGCGCATAACCGACGCGAAGAACTGGAAGATAGAGCCTATCGGTTTCAAGAAGTGCTAGAAAGGGAACTGGAGGTTGAACTGTTCACCATACGGCAGCTCAAACGCTCTCTCAAATATGTCCGACGGTATATGCAACAGTACGACGAAACAGTCGAAGATCCAGTTCCAGGACCAAGTCGACCAGTCGACACGGAAGGGAACTACCAGGAAGCGGTAACAACAGGTTCACCAAACAACAGTGAGGATGAACACTCTATCGAATCACAATCAGATAAGTCCGAAACAACGGGGGCTACTACCCAAGGGGCTACTACCCAAGGACAAACCAACAGGGGCGAAGAAACCAGCGGTCACAACGACTACAGGTCGCTCCACAACAAAGACCCTCCACAGCAAACAACTAATACAACAACGGGGACAATAACACACCAACATACAACCGAACAGGCAAGTCGCGACGATTCAACTGCCGAAGAAAACATCCACCATACGGGCAGTTGCGATGTATCTGCCGACTCGAAGGAAAATCGTCTCATTTCGGTTCAAACACAAGATCCTCCGGAGCAAACAACTGATAAAGCAACGGAGGCTCTAATACAGCAGGACGACTACGATTCATCTGCTGAGCTACACCTACAGGCGAAACGACCCCGAGAGCAACTGTAGACATTCGACAGGAATATGCCAACTTTTTATAAAGCAAGATGCTTTTTTTTGTTTTTGTTATAACGGAGGCAATGTGTCCCGAGTTATATTTTAGTTTATAACCCTATTAACGGAGGCAGTGTGACTACACGGTTGCCTAGCTTCCTTTTTTTAAGGCCGTAATAAAATATAAAAGGCCTCATACACATATATACAAGTATCCTATGTGATACTTACTTAGTTTAAGACTAGCATAGGTTAGTTTGTAAGATACTCGTCACGGTAAAAACGAGAAGGCGTCTCACAGCACTTACGCCTTCAAAGAAACAATATGGGTGGGTCAAATCTACTCGTAAAAACAGGGATGGGTACACAAAACCACATACATATAAAAAACCTAACCCCACCAACCGATATTGCATCGATAATTGGATAACTGGAACACAAGTCGAACCTGACTGTGTTAAAGACAGGGCAAGCAATCCTGATCATTCAGGTAAAAAGAACAATTATTTTCAATAATAAATTTTCATTTTTTAACTGTCCAGTTTATATGATTCTGCAGTTCATTGTATCCCTATAATTCGAACAAACCTGTAAATCCCAGTCGGTTGTGCATTTTTACAGTTAAATAAACAAATTTCCATTGTCTGCCACCGATTGGTAGTTCGTTGTTTGTCTCTCATTCGAGCCTACGTATATTTCTATCCCTATAAGTCTTGCTCGCGCCAAGAAACCCAGTCGATTTCTTTGTTATACCTTAACTGTAACTTAAGCTACCGATACCATTCGCTGGTACCTTGCGCCATCTGACCACAACTCACTGGCATCTCCTAGATATGACTAGATATGACCAGTTTAACACCACTGACTGGTACTATAATCGACGTGACTACGGTCACTGGTAAACCTACGATCGCATTTGACAACAGACACACATCCTTTAACAACCGTACGGTTCCAGTGGCCTCTGGTATCTGCAGCTTCGGAAATAGAACAGTGGACTTCACCTCTTCAAGGGATACCACTGGGGTGTCATTGGCCATATAATTCCAGCGACTGACGACCGTGAAGAGTAGACGTGGGTGAGGGCCAATTCCGAACCTCCGACAAGAGACAAAAGACCATTTAAAGGAAGTCACTGGTCAGGGCCACCGAATGAGCTCTTTATTTTAATCTTATCGAAATCTGGCCTCAGCTTAAAATTAAAAAATGTAAGTTTATAGTATCTTGTCGATGCATAAGGTTTATATTACCTGTACATGCATGTATTACCTGTACATACATATTTTGAAACATTTTCTTTGGATATTAGATATATCAAACGGATTTTGCGTGTCACGTAATGTCCTTCTGACTACACGGACATTATTATTTTGATCATTTTGATTTCTTTGATATTTATTAAGAATTATCCAGAACGCAACTGTCATGTTGAACGATGCAGTTGTCGCGTGAAATGTTCTGATTTTCACAAATTCATAAAATTTTTCATTTTTCACTAATTCACAAAGTTTTTCACTTTTCACTAGTTCACGCTAGAAAAAAGATTAATGATCGCTGCCCTGAGCAGTTACAACATTTCTCAATCATTTATGTCGGTGCGCTCCTACTCCTCAGATTTCTGTCATTAATAACTGGATAATTATTATGAATCTCGCAAAACGATATGGGACTTTTATGTTTTTCTCAACCCAATCTACCCTCACATCCTTCGGGTTGGCAGCTAATTACCGAACATTTCGTATGATCTTCATGATATTAGTCATATACAATGTCAATTCTTTCTTTTTTGTACATGTTAACATGTTAATTCATCCCTTTTTTTAACAGTTTTTGTATCAGGGGATTTCTTTAAAACAAAAAAAGGCGCGTGAAACCTCGATCTCGAATATATCGAAGCGGATGAAGAGAGAGAGAGAGAGAGTGTGAGAGAAAGAGCGAGAGGGAGAGACAGATAGAGACAGGGAGAGACAGAGAGAGATAGGTAGAGACGAGGAGAGACAGCGAGGGACAGGGCGAGACAGGGAGAGGCAGAGAGACAGAGAGAGAGAGAGAGAGGGGGGAGGATGAGAGTTAAAAAGAAAGAAAGAGTGAGGGAAAGTGATAGAATGATGGATAGAGGGGTGGAGAGAGAGGAGGGAGAAGGAGAGAGATAGAATGAGAGGAGAAAGGGGTGAGGGAGGGTGGAGAGAGGAGGAGGGAAGGGGGAGTCAACTTCTATATTCAGGACCGTCTTGAATTCATCTTCAAATGCTTTTTAGCCTATAGAACGATGCATATAGCATCTAAAGATAAACTTAAGATGATCTGAAATAGAAATGTTAAACGTCGGAATTCATTGGTTATATGGTTACGCGTTACTATGCAGAAAATATGTCATGGAATTTCAAACCGTATGCGCCTAAGGCCCAGTTCCACAACTTGCTTTAAACTCCGTTTAAACTCTCCGTTTAAAGCAAGTTGTGGAACTGGGCCTAATACATCGTATATTGGAGTCGGATATTATTAAACTTATATTACACTACAGGGATTATTTTTATGATTTATAATATTTATTCTAAACTTTAATAAGAATAAACTAAAATGGCGCGCGCGTAGCGCGTGCGCGTAGTGTTCTAGTGTTATATAAACGCGTAACAATGGCCGTGTTCAGTAGAACAAAATGATCAGAGAGCGCTTAGTGATTATTATCTGTGATTGGAGCATTCTTTAAGATTCTTCATAGACCCAGAAGTATTTACCAATTAGGAGCGAGATTCAGTGAAAAATCTAGTAATGTTGTCCAACTGTTGAGTCTGCTGAATGCAGCCAATGTGCGGGACCGTGCTTGTCAAGTATGCTGTTATGGTTGTAGCACGGACATAAATCGCCTGAAAGTGGATGTAGCACGGACTGCCACCATATGCAGATTTTACCGCCGAAACCTGAAAGTGGATGTAGCATCATAGTTCCCCTCTCAAAATGGATGCGTTTCCCCTGCAGATGGCGCCTTTTCCCAGTGTGGAAAGTCGGTGTCATCGAAAACGCCGTGTTGTGGCCGCTCTCACGTTCCTCTCTGGCTGACTGTTGTGCGATATGAATCAACCTTTACTTTCGCAGTGTGTGTGCTACGAATTATCAAATATACGACACATTGAGATTCAGATCGGACGTGGTGGCTCAACAAATTCGCTCTCACACTGGACGTTGGAGAAATTAAGTCGCTCGTAAACACTACGGCAACTGTGCGTATATATATATATAAGGTGGATGAATAAATGGATGGAAGGACGAACGAAATGTATGAAGTCGTCATTAAATACCAAGCAAGATATCAGTGAGATATGTTATTAACAAGATTCTCATTAACGTCTCATTCTTTATCGACATTCGGTGAGATGTATACAAAGATCGTCACGGTTGCAGGTACAAATTAACATCCTTTTCTTCAGCTTCAGTTTGATGCTATCTTGGACGCAGCGTTTAGTTCGTATCGTCTTAGAGAGACTCGCATCGTTAGGGCCAATATTGTCAAATGCATTTAAATACGGGGCTCTGAATCGCTTGTCACGAAAATCTGAAGATGCTAAAATGAAAATGCTGCAACGCAAATAACAAGCAAGTGAATTTCGCTTCACAATCTGTGCGTTGTATCGCATTCACATATTTCAGATTGTGAGCGAATCGCTACCACGCGTATTCACGATTCGATTCGCCGCCACGCTGACGTATGTTACGTACGTTGTTCGACATATCGCGAATTGACATTTTTGTTATCAAGGTTAAAAGTCCGATGACAGTCGTGTCAGTCATGCAATCGTCATCGACGTAGAATATTGTTAGAGAATCTCAGTAACAAGTATATACTTTGACAAAATGTTAAACGTATAAAATGATGTTAATTTTTGTGTGCGCAAATGAACACGATATTCACATAGCTTGTGTCAACAGTGTCTCAATTGTGTTTCAACTCTTGCATATATAAAAGTCAAAATCGATGGATTCGCTGGAACTTGACGGGGTTTGCCGTACGATTTTAATTTACTATCGTCACAACTTATACGCGGTGCAATATACAGCTATTTGATAATAACAATAATATATTGACATCATTATAGCATACAGTAATATATCGATAACGCTATTATTGCAATACAGTTTTAATAATATTATATCTTGAAGATGACGATGAGTTCATAGGCGCTCTGTTTCGCTGAGACAATGTCAGAAGATAATTTACCACATATTTCGTACGGGCTTGATAGCCGTGGAAGAATAGTACGTATCGAGTCTGGTATAACGAGAGCAAACATCAGGCGTCTTCCAAGCATAGAAGAAGCTCTAAGAAGATTCAGTACAAACTTGAGAGTCGACAGACAAGTCAATGATTCGAACGGTAACGTACAATATAAAAATGTTTTGAATCTGCCGTGTATAAAGTCAATACCGATTTATTACTTCTTATTTTATTCCGATCTAGATGTTTCATACATTAGTCAATACTTGAGTGTCATATACTTTAGGAATGTGTCATATATTTTACTAATTCCGATGTCATATATTTTACGTACGTAAAAAGTATTAACTCTGTCTTTCTAAAAAGGATAGTTACACTGTGTGCAGAAATGTAGATAAGTGAATATATTGTTACATCAACCTGATCGCATATCAATCATTCAATAGATGTTATTAATATGTTTTACAGCTGGAACTTCTGACTTTCAAGCACAAGTGGTATCATCAGAAGAAGAAATTTCTCAGAACATATCCGAAGATATAACAGATCGTGAATTATCCATTGATATCACCGATGGGGTGTCTTCTCCAAATTATACAACGTCTAGTATGCGATCATTGAGTATGGATGAAGAGTAAGCTAATATGGAGCAATTGTATATTACATATGTTGTGACGAAAGCAATTAATTTGATAATTTCATACAATATCTCTGGTGGACGATCATAAAATCACCGATATTCTATATATTCCATGGAATATATGCGTAATAGACAATTTTTGAAATGACGCAAATTATTTAATTTCCTGTTTCGTACGAATTTGAAATCAATCGTTTTTGTACATTAAAGATGTACCACACAATCCCCCCCTCACAAACACATATCCATGCACCCACACACTTGAGGAAAAACTTTCCTCTGTTTCCTAACAGTTTGTAACAACTATTTTATATATAATTATTAATATCGCGCGTATGCGAAAACATTATATAATGTGAATTTTTTTTGTATATACAGCAAGCGATATTGTTGGGTGTGCTTCGCAACAGACGAGGATGATGCTACTGCAGCATGGGTCAAACCATGCCACTGTAGAGGCACTACAAAATGGGTTCATCAAGGTTGTATACAAAGATGGGTCGACGAGAAGCAAAAAGGTCATGCCGAACATGCTGTAGCCTGTCCACAGTGCAACACGGAATACATAATAGTTTACCCAAATATGGGTAAGTCGCATCAGCTAATAGCATAATGTTTTTTTCCCTATGATGATAGCGGTACAATTATAAAAGGTTGAGACATAAACATAAGTAATTGTCGATTGTTGCAAGGAAAGAAAAGATGATCTCTAAATTAATCGATAAATCTGTCATTGCGAAACAATGCAAAAATGTCTCGTATAACATGCTGCGAAATTGATCGCAGGTCCACTAGTGGTAATACTCGACACGATCGACACTGTTATCTTCCGGGTGTGTCCCTTTATCGCTGCTGGTATCGTCGTCGGATCCATATACTGGACAGCTGTAACTTATGGTGCGGTAACCGTTATGCAAGTAGTGGGTCACAAAGATGGTCTTACCATGATGGAACAAGCCGATCCTTTGGTCTTGCTCGTTGGTTTACCGACTATTCCAATTATGTTGGTTCTGGGGAAAATGCTCAGATGGGAAGATCAGGCTCTAGGTTTCTTGAGGCGGCATGCCTGTAAAGTTCCTATCCTGAGGCACTTCTTACCGAGTAGGTTCGTACATCGATATGTCGTTCCGTCAGTCGAAGTAAGAAGTAAGAAGGTAGAAATGGCGCGTCTGTCAACTCGAAATATATCTCGAATTATTATCGCAGTTATTCCAGCGAGGATACAGTGCAATCGGAGGATATACCACCGATGAACGATCCTGTGTCTGCGACGCGCGTGCTTTGCGGTGCGCTCTTGTTGCCAACAATCGCCAGTATATGCGGAAAGCTGTTCTTTGAAAGTATAAGTTCCAACTTTCAGAGAACGCTGCTTGTACGTATTAAATATATCATCGCCGTTCGTATGTATACAAGAGACGATTGTAAGCAGAGAAGGAGGGTACATGATCGCACAAGTGAAAATGAAAAGTTGAAAATTCGATGCGCTTTCAAGGCTTGTTTCGCTGTAATTTAGGATATCAGATTATTGTGATGAAACGTATATCGAACAAGTGGCACAGAACGTTGAATAAAATTGAAAGGTTGCAATTTAATGTTTTATACACAATAATTGAATAATATAACGAAACGCGTCATTCGGACAGGGTGTCATCTCGAGAATATGAGAAATTCTGTATCGTCCCTTGTGTGCTATCGATCAATCAGTCATTACAATTGGAGAAAGTTAAAAGAGGACAGGCAAGAATAACTGTTTCTCATAGTAATAATATAATAATATAAGTTTCTCATAGTAATAATGATGATGATAATAATGATGATGATGATGATGACGATGATAATAATAATAATAACAGCAACAACAATAATAATAATTTATCTCTCATTCGTTGTCTATTATACGCAGGGTGGTGCGGCGTTCCTAACGATAAAGGGTGCATTTAAGATTTACCACAAGCAACAACAATACATGAGACAGTGTCAGCGTCGTGTAATGGATTACACAGAGAGCAACGTGGCGCTGTACAAGAGGCAGCAAAATTCTGAGAGCGATCAGACGAGTTAAAAATGAAAGGTTAAAATAGATATCCAAAGTACCGAATATAATGTATAACTTGTTCAGCATAAGGGTTAACTTTACAGTAGAATCAGGCAATCGTTGGGGGATATACAGTGGATGAAAAAACGTACGTAGTTGATTCCTTTTTAGACAAATGTACACAGAAAATATTACACTGTAACATAAGTTTCTATATCACACATATAAAATATATTGGTAAATATATCAATATACCAATACATTTCATTTCGTGTTTATGCAAGATTAATCTAAGAAAAATGAATATATGCGGGTGTTTTTTTTTTTTTTTATTTTCGCTGTAATAACTTTCAATGTCATACATGTTTTCAGTGATAACCTTGGATACGTTCTGGTTATACCGTAGGATAACGAAATCTGTATATATCCATATAAAAATTAAAATTTCGTACGTAAAAACATTGTCAGAAATTAATACAAGATTATATTTTTCAAGGAGGTGAAGGGTGTTGAGCAATGTGTGGAAGCACGGGGTAACATCTTTAACATAATTGTATGAGACACGAATACACACACACACACACACACACACACATATATATATATATATATACATATACACGTAATATGGAATATTTTTCCCAATCTTCCTTGTATAGTAAATAAAAATGGGAGTAATAACAGACATAACTTCTTTCTTTATATTATTAAAGTTATGTAGTTCAAGTCAATGGATCGAATATTAATATTGCTCATAGGGGAGATGGAATACTGCAGGAAAAGAGAAATTAACGCGACGAATCGTTGTGACAAATACTTGTTATCCGTAATTTGTAAGGGTGATTCTAGAATCTGGTGTAATATAAATATAAGAGCCTATTGTATTTTACAACGGGTAAGATTCGTAAGTTGTATTTTGTAATCTAATTTCACATGTAAATGCTAATATAAAACAACCTATAGGAAAACAACTATAGGAAATATAAAAGAAGCTTGTCAATATAAATACGATAATCAACAATGTTTACATTTTATCTATAACAATAAAATTCATATCTGCCTCATGTTTGTCTCGTTTTTCAGTCTTTTACATTAAGAAAGAACATAAATTTATATTTGTCTTTTTCTTCTTACTGATTACAGGTGTCAGTGAGTCTATATGATATTGATACGTGTCATTATAGGAGTATTGAGGGATGAGTGTTCACTTCGGCTAGATTGGCCAAACGTCGGAGATGACGTTTACTTTCTCCCTACTATCGCTCTTGGCTTGATGGCCGAGCCGCCAATCGCGCGGGACAGCTTTGTTTTCAGGAGTGTTTGCGTATGCAAAATATGGTGGAATCGCCAAACCATTAGTAGAATTTTGACAGTAGATTTCCACATTACTCGTAAGATACTATTACTGATGCACTTTTTCTTTAAGTGGTTTCCCCAGTAGGCTTGTTTCTACTGAGGAACCTTATAAAAATTGATAAAGATGAAACATAGCTCTATTTTAATGACAGTATTGGCGGAAAGTGAAATCCTAGCGTATTTTTCATACGCGAACGCTCTTGGAAACAAAGTTGTAGTCTTAATTATCGTAGTCGTCATCGTACTTTTAATCGTCGTCGTAGTCTTATATTTAAGATAGTCTTAAGTTCACCTTCAGATATCCCATAGGCAATGAAATAATTTATACAGTATCTGAAGATGAACTTAAATATAAGATGGTCTTAAATATAAGATCCGACTATGAATACCGGCCTTAATCGTCGTCGTCGTCGTCATAGTATAGTATTAAAACAATATACAAAGGGTGCGTTCCGTTTCACGCATATGCGCGCATTTTTTATAATATACGTGACATAAACTATAGATAAATGCGCGCATATGCGTAAAACGGAACGCACCCAAAATAACGACACTCTCTGTCAGCACTTTTGATGTTAGCGTCTCCAAAAGTGAATTGCACATGCGCAACCTTGTTACCTAATCAATAGCAAGCAGGGTCTACTTAAGACTACAAACACTTTGAACACTAACAGGGAGGCTATTATACGGTGTTCAAAGCATTTGCAACATTTAATGAGTCATACTCTATATGATTTAATAAAAATTTAAATAAATATATATATATATATATATATAGATGAAAAGAGAGAAAGAGAGAGCAGAAATTTAAGTTAACGATTGTAACAGAAAGACGGTCTGCACTTTTTAGCTGCACTGCTGAACTAAGTGTAGTAAATTAGAGTGAGACATAAGGCCTGTTCGTTTCGTCTGCACTGCTGAATTAGTGCAACAAGTTGAAGTAAGAAAACCTACGTTTGTCTCACTTTAACTTAACGCACCAGTTCAGCAGTGCAGACAAAACGAACAGGCCTATATTGGCCGCGTTCAGCAGAAAAAGCTGCTTACTAAGCGCTTAGTGATTATTATCTATGATTGGAGTATTCTTTTAGATTCTTTTAGATCTTTAACAAATCCAGGGTAATGAACTAATCAGAAACGATTATCACTAAGCGCTTAGTAAGTAGCTTTCTCTGCTGAATGCGGCCATAACATATTTTTTCTGCGAGAAAGTGAGATAGAAAAAGATATCTGTAACATTATTGGTTAGGCTAGGTAACACAAGAGGGTATCAATTGCCCACGAGCTATAGCAACTGGCCGACACTAAAAAACCTCTAGATCATAGGCAGTTGTGATTGGTGGTGGGTAAATGAACCGTGTGTAATTAAACCGCTTCCTGGTAACACGACAGCGCATGTGTATTTTATTTTTGGAGACGCGAAATTTAGAAAGTGTCGTCACTGTGGTTATGTTCCAATAGGCCAGTTCGTTTTGTCTGCACTGCTGAACTGGTGCAACAAGTTAAAGTGAGACAAACGTAGGTTTTAAGTTTACAACCTGAAGTGTGAAGGTAGATTAGGTTAAGACGAACATAAAAGTCCCATACTGTTTTGCGAGATTTGCAATAATTATCAAGTTATTAATGACAGAAATCTGAGGAATGGGAGCGCGCCGACATAGATGATTGAAGAAGCGTTGCAGCTACTCAGGCCATAACGCGGTTCACTCGACCAAGCAACTTCCTTCCTTCAATATATGGCTCTAGGCTTGTGGGAGTAGGCCCCTACGCCATTCTTCTCGATAAAAGAGGTAAAAGAAAAACAAGGACAACGTGTACGTTGTCCCCACGATCAAAAAATATGCGCAGTTACAAGAACCACATCCACCCGCCACGGAGGCGAACAAAAGACTTCGACCAAGCAATTGTTGGCGGCGTGAGGCGAGACGTAGGTCCGGCGAGATAAAACAACGAATAGCGGCGCATTGTCTTTCCCTTCGCCGCGCACCGGCAACAATTTCTGGGCCGTGCTGCGGCCTAAGCAGCTGCAACGCCTCTTCAATCATCTACGCTGGCGCGCCCCTACACCTCAGATTTCTGTCATTAATAACTCGATAATTATTGCGAATCTCGCAAAACGGTATCGAACTTTTATGTTTGTCTTAACCCAATTTACCTTCACACTTCGGGTTGTAAACTTATAACCCCCCACCTTGTACATAATATCATTACTACGATAAAATATAATTTAAAAGTATTTGATATGCGCCTGAGATACTTTTAAAGTATCTCTTTCTAGATACATTTTAATTTATATATCTGCATCTAAATACATTTTTTCATATGTACCTCCGTATCGAGATACATTTGAAATGTATCTTGCCCATCATTGATTACATGTGTCTGAAATACAAATCATGAAATTGCTCCAACCGCTGTCTAAACATCTTATCACAAAAAGCCCGATAACTTCGAAATGGCGCAATGTGAAAAAATTATAGTACTTTGAAAAGGTCTGAAGAAAGGCTACAAGAATATGCATTAAAAAGTGAGTGGTCCGATTAAAAAAATTCAAGGTGACTTTAGCGACGCCACCCAAGGTCAATCTCATAACGTCATTAAATAGATCTTTTGAAACCCTACAATTTTTATTTAAAACATTTTTTTCTAAAATGCTTAGTTTTTGTAATATTTCACCGTCCCGGTACTTTTTATACACCCTACATATGGTAAAATCAAAGAATGCTAGAAAAGATAGGACCAGCTAAGGCCGTAGAATACCATAGATCGTCCGAGACCCGGTCATAATGAGAAACTCAGAAATATGCGTAAATCGCGTTAAAAAGCAATATTTTGTTAAAATTTATTGAAAGTTTGTGACCCAAATTTAGTTAGCCAAAAGCCGTTTTAATCCTTTGAAGCACGAATTTTTCTATGCAATAATAAAAGAAACTTATTATGTATATACAGATTTTCTGGGTCGCTGATTACGAATCCGGAGTCAAAATTTTAAAATTCAAAATGGCGGATTCAATATGGCGACTTCAAATGACTGACTTTGATATGATATTATGGATATGTATCAAACTCAGTATATATATGTTTTTTCGATCACAGATGACAAATACAGAGTCGAAGTTAAAAAATTCAAAATAGCGAATCCAATATGGCGACTTTAAATGGCTAACTTTGATATGATATTATGAATTTTAATTTCGGAAATTTGATAATAAATTCGTAGTTAGCGACCCAAAAAACCTCCACGTATCTATTTCTGTCGAGATCGAAGGATTTTGAACATTTTTGTTCATCATATTGGATCCTCCATTTTGAATTTCGAAATTCTGACCCCAGATTCGTAATCGGCGACCTCGAAAACCCTAGGGTATCAATTGTCAGCCATATAGCTATAATTGTTCTCTCTGACACGAATTTTTTGTACAAAAACACTGTTTTTTGCTTTTAACTATTTATATAAACAATTTCATAAACAATTTATGAGAATTGCACATTATAACATACTTAATAACATAATACTCGAATGAAAACCCAAAAAAAAAATCGAGTGTTTTATACCTGAAAAACGTAATAAAATGAAACAAAAAAGGTGGCACACCAGAGTGCCGCTGTACTTCAAAGGGTTAAATCGAGAGTAAGCTATACAAAATATAATTTTAGTTTAATTTCAATATTTTTAAAAAATATTGAAAATTTATGTATAATTAATAATAAGTGTAAATATGCTATAAAAAAGAATCAGACGAAGAACGACAAAGAACGACGACGACGACAACGAAGAAGACGATGAAGACGTATTTTGATTTGATTTTTCGAGACATTTGAGTAAATACCTCAAGGAAACATGTATTTTTGAAAAATTTCCGCTCATATAAATTCCAAGTTCGTTTCTTTACACATTTTTTCGACAGGACAGATGAAAATATCGATGAAAAACGCGTACAAAGCGAATGTAACATATGCGGGTTACCATATTCTGGTTACCGTGGAAAAGATAATGTATGAAGCAAGAACAAAAATGTATATTTTAAAGTGTAGTAATCATGTAAAGTGTAGTATAAATCATGTATAATCACTAATAAAATCTGTATTATCTCTTTAAAGGGGATATCCGAATGGTTTGCTTGTCTTATGGTGTCCCCTTAGAAGAGACATCCGAGTGTAAAGTTTTAATTTTATGACGGGCATGTAGATTATACACAATCATAATTTATACATATATTTACCTTCTTTTTTATTTCATAATAAACTACACTTTAAAATATACATTTTCGTTCTTGCTTCATATATTTTCTTTTCTACGGTAACCAGAATAACCCGCATATGTTACATTCACTTTGTACGCGTTTTTCATCGATATTTTCATCTGTCCTGTCGAAAAAATGTGTAAAGAAACGAACTTGGAGTATGAGTTAACCGCGTTTTTCACGAAGTGTGCTAAAGTTGTTAAATCCTAAATTGACAAAGCACGCGAGCTGATTGCATTACTCCAAGAGTAATTTAGTTAGTACTACCATTTAAAATTTTACCTCGCTCGACCAAGTTGGGGCTAGCGATAATCGATATTAAAAAGCGACGGGAAAAGGTCGGAATTAACATCACGGGAATGATCGATCACTTCTCATAGAACGAGAGCGGCTATAATAATTATCGTCACTATTAATGAGTCGGAATAACTCGAAGCGACGTTCGAATCGCGGAAAAGTCGGAT